TGTTGTTGTTGGTTTTTGTTGTTGTTGGTTTTTGTTGTTGTTGGTTTTTGTTGTTGTTGGTTTTTGTTGTTGTTGGTTTTTGTTGTTGGTGGTTTTTGTTGTTGGTGGTTTTTGTTGTTGGTGGTTTTTGTTGTTGGTTTTTGTTGTTGTTTTTGGTTTTGTTTTTGGTTTTGTTTTTGTTTTTGTTTTTGGTTTTGGTTTTGTTTTTGTTTTTGGTTTTGGTTTTGTTTTTGTTTTTGTTTTTGTTTTTGTTTTTGTTTTTGTTTCTGTTTCTGTTTTTGTTTTTGTTTTTGTTTCTGTTTTTGTTTTTGTTTTTGTTGTTGTTGTTGGTGTTGGTGTTGGTGTTGGTGTTGGTGTTGGTGTTGGTGTTGGTGTTGGTGTTGGTGTTGGTGTTGGTGTTGGTGTTGGTGTTGGTGTTGGTGTTGGTGTTGTTGGTGGTGGTGGTGGTGGTGGTGGTGTCGTTGTCGTTGTCGTTGAGAGCTGGCGCATACGAAGCTCAGCGTGGCAGTGCTGCCGCGGCGGTTGTGCGCCAGCAACGTACATTTGGCCACCGGACGTGACTGGGTTTGTGTTATGCTGCTGACCATGAGGGGACCTAGCGAGGACCTAGTGAGGACCCAGCGCAGAACTTTTGCCTTTTTGCGGGCTCAAAAAACGAGCGCTCTTTATGCGTTGCCCATTGTGGACCGGCATCACCTGCAGCATCCGATTCCATGGTGATACGGAAATGTGGATGGACAATTGCGGATGAAATTCTTGGACAACGGGTGGGCAATCATGGAAAGGATGGCAAAGGAGGCCAAATGGATGGAACATGGATGATGGAAAATTGATGGACACTCGCTGGAAAATGATGGAAAGTGCATTTGGAAAGTTTATGGAACATGGAGGGAAAAAGGTTGCGAAATGGAAATGGATGGAAAGCGGGTGCAACGTGCAAATTTCGCAGCCGTGTTCCCGGCGCTGGTCTGTCCGGCCACCGGACGTGACCGGGCCGAAGGCCTAGCCCGGAGGGCTGCTTTCCGGCATCAGGCTGTCCGCGCCACGCCGTGCGCCAACCATGCGCCAACCATGCTCTGACCATGAGAAGATCAAAGGAGGTTTGGGGGGCGAAGGGGGGGGAAAGGTGGGGGTTGAAAGGGGGGGAAAGATTTTATAAGTGGGGGAGGGAGGGAAAGATCTTAGGGGGAGGGGAAAGGTGGGAAAAGATCTTAGGGAGGAGAAGCGGGGAACAAATCTTTGGAGGGTGATCTTAGGGCGGGAGAGGGAAGAAAAGATCTTAAGCAAGGGAAACTGAGGGAAACGGGGGAAGCAATCTTGGGGGGCGAAAGGGATCTTACAAAGGGGGGAGACAGGCGGGAAACAGGTCAATGGCATCCATCTCCTTATCATTGGCCAGGGAACTCCTTTTCAATGGCATCCATCTCCTTACGGAGAAGATCAACGCACAGTTTCACCTTAATCTTAAAATGTCGCAGGACGTCCGAAGGTGCCTGCGTTGCCTTCAAGTTGTTGATGCTCGCGTTTCACCGAGCTGGTGAAAATCTTGCGCTTCCTGAAGATTGGTCTTATTGCCTCAGGAGGTAAGCAACGCATTAAACTTGTTGATGAAGTATCTCCTGCGCTTCAACTGATATCGCGCAATGGATGCCACGAATTCAACCATCGGGATGTAGCGCTTTCGCCTTTCGACCTTGTGTCGGTCTTGTTGGATGTTCTGCATGTTTGACCGTGGGCCGCGCACTGGTGCCATGAGGATGACATCAGGTGCTTTTTCCTTGATGATCTCCATGACCATGCGTCGTCCTTTGCATGTCATTACGTCCACTCCAGCTCGGGCGTCGACAGGTGTTCCAACCTTTAAACCTGGCTGCGCATTCGCTGAATCTTGCACTTCCTGCAAAGATCTCGAGAACAAGGGTTTTTCCTGAATTTTTGTGAAGGTGGAGTTTTTCAGGGCCTGCTTTTCGTAAAGTGTTTTCGAGCCGAAAGTGCTCCAAATAATGTGTCAAAGGGTGTCACTTTTGGATCTTAATAAATACACCAGCAGAGACCCCAAATAGTTGAGGACTGACGGGCAAGCGCAAACTTGCCAACAGCTTGTGGCTTTCTGCGCTTCAACACGGATGAGTCAAAATGATGCAGTCGTGAACCTGGCAAGCGTTGCGTTGCTGCACGTGTGTTGCTGGCGTGCTTCGCGCTTCAGTGCCGCGCTAGAAATGAGGTTGGGCAAGCGCGTGCGATAGCGGGCGAGCGCGCGCGCGTGAACGCAAGTGTGGCTGCGCACGCGCGCGGTCACGTGGGCAGTTCAGAGACATGCCCAATTCACGTGGAACACACATATGTGTACGACTGAAGCAGCACACGCGGCAAGCGCAGATGTGCACCCTAACGCACACATGTACAGTCACCTACTGAGCTGGAAAACAAACGTGTGCTTCTTGGAAAGCACACACATGTGCACAAACAGGTGCAATTAAAGCGCACGTGGGACACACATATCTATATCACGGACACACAAATATGTGTTTAGGAACACCGCGTGTGTGATGAAAGCGCACGTGTGTGTACACGTGGAACACACATATGTGCACACGTGAGCAAACATAAATGCGCACCTAAAGCGCACACACATGCACGCGCCTCGAAAACAATCATGTTTTTTCTGGAGAACACACATGTGCGCACCTGGCGAGCAAACAGGTCGTCAGATGCAAAAAAGTGTTCACCTAGCACATACTAATGTGTTCACGTGAAACACATCTGTTCACCTGGAACACAAACACGCGTCCAATTGGAACACGCATGTGCCTACATGTGGAACGCAGATATGCGCGCACGTGAACACACACATATGTGCGCATGTTAACACACACACATGTGCGCCCGGAACACACACACACACACCCGTGTGCGCACATGATAACAACCATGCATTCTCCTGGACCGCAAACACGTTTTGAATTGGAACACACATGTGTGTACACGTGAACACACATATGTGTGCACGTGGAACACACATTTGCGTACACGTGAACACATAAAGAAATGTGCGCCCGGAACACACACACACACACACACACTAGTCTAGTGTTCATCTAAAAAACAAGCATGTGTTCACCTGGAACACAAGTCCAATTGGAACACACACGTGTGTACACGTGAACACACATATGTGTACACGTGGGAGACACAAATGTGCACACGTGAGCACACACATGCGCACACGTGGAACACGCACTGAACGCACACACATCTATGCGCGCGCGGAAACAGACACAGACGAGTGTTCATCCAATACCAAGCACGTGTTGTCCTGCAACACAAACACGTGTCCAGTTGGAACGCACATGTGTGCACGTGAACACACAAATGTGTACAGGTGGAACATATGTGTACACGTGAACACACACATGTGCACGGGGGGCAGACACACACACACACACACGTGTTCATCTGAGAACAAACATGTGTTCTCCTGGACCACGTGCGCGTGTCTGATAAGAACACGCATGTGTGTACACGTGAACACACATATGTGTACGCGTGCAACACGCATATGTGTACACGTGAATATACATATGTGTACACGTGGGCCACACACATGTGTACACGCGAACCGGAACACGCACACACACACACACACACGCGTGTTCATCTGACAACAAACATGTATTCCTGGGACACACATGCGTACACCTGGAACACATATGTGTGTGTGTCTGGAAATCACATTTCTGTTCACCTGCGACACACATTTGTGTTCACCTGGAACCCATACATGCGCAACAGGCATTTGTGTTCACGCGCAACACTGGTGCAGACCTTGATCACACAAACATGTTTAACCAGAACAAACTTCCATGTCGACTTGTAACACACATATGTGTGCACAAAGGAACACACATATGTGCACATGTGGAGAAACATGTGCAACACACATACGTTCACCTGGACAGCAAAAATGTGTTGACATGGAACTTACATTTTCTACACGCCTGGGCTACACACAAATCAAGTTCCCGAAGCCGGCTGTGATGGGGCTTTGCCTTGAGCGACGCTTGTGTTTCACGCGCGTGTTCCAAATAGGAAAAAAGTGTTCGTGTGCGATCAATCTAGCTTTTTTGGAACATGTTGCTAGCGCGCGAGCCTGCTGCTGCTACTACTGCTAGTACTATCAGTACCGGACGCGTCTCCAGCGTTTACAGGCTTCAACTTAGCAAAAGCTTTCCGGCGCATTTTTCGTGTCGAGCAATCTGATGGAACGCTCTAAAGTGCCTTTATCGTACTGTGGCAACTCTTCGTATCGACTCAGTAAAGCGTTTGCTTTCGCGGGGAGCCCAAGTCTTCCGTATGCTCGGTGCAAGGCATCCCTGCCTTCTTGCCTCAGCCATTCCATGGATTGCATGCGAGGAGAGCGGAGGCAAACTTGGATTGAGGCGTAATTGGGAACCAGCTGACCGCTGCGCCCACCAACTGCTAAGTGTGAGTGTGGTGGCACCACTTCCGCATTGGCGTCTAGCATCCGCACACGCTTCCATTGCTTGGGCGCTTTGTCAACATGTTTGTTGAGCTGCGATCAGTATGCCTGCTGCGCAGTCACAGTCGCTGTCTGCGTGGGCAACTCCAACAACGCACAAGAGTTGCTTGAAGGGGGCGGCTACCGTGCTCGCAAGGAATCGGATATAGCAGCAACATGACCGAAACCGCTCGTAAGCGAGCCGCAAGGATTCGAAGACAGGCGCGCAAAAGGGCCCAACCAGGCAGGTTTCGAGCCGAAAAGTGCTTCAAATTGTGGCCCGATGGGTGACGTCGCACTAGGATCTTATATATCGGATACAGAGCAACATCGCCGGCATCACCAGCAGCAGCACTTCACCAGCGAGGCCGCTTGTAAGCGAGCCTGTGTACAAGAGCTTGATGAACTCACACCTTCCCATGCGCCTCAGAGACAAGGGGTCGGCGGATTCCCAGCCACGGCCTTTGAGCACGTTCAATCCAGGTTGGCAGCGAACCTCTAGTTCCAATCGGCTTTGCCCCGGGGTCGCTCTTCCAGTCTGAGCTGTTGGTCATCGTGCCGCGCGCATAGTTGGACAAGCACGGTGAGGGCCTGCCTCAAAACTTCGGGCCCGCTTTACGGTTTGAAAGGGGAAACATGTTGGCCCCTCTTTGTTGTTTTGGAGCCCGTTTTGGCAACCAAGAGGAAACGTAAGGTGCTTTGGATGTAAGGCTGGGCAGCTCTTTCAATCGTGCAACGAGACCTGACGGGCTGGATTTGCATCCCATCGTCGGCGGCGTTTGGGCAGGGGGCCCTAGATAGGCTCCAAGCGAGCTTTGGCCATGCTGTTGAGTTTTGCATGTTTCTCTTTTCGGGTGGTTTAGACACCATCCTTTTGCCAAATTTGACTGAGTTTCCTGTTTTGCTTGGAGGTTGGACATAAAGCATGGATGGAACTCCGACTATTTCTGCCTTGCCTTTCCATTCCGGACCTGGCTCAGACGGCAAGGAATTTCTGAGGGTTTCGATGTCAATCTGCGTTTGTTTCACTTTGTTTTCATGATTTGTTTTGAGGATCGAGCCAGCTTCAACCTCCACAAACATTTTGTCTCATGGTGCACTGTTTGGGTGTGTTTTGAAGACAAATCACTCACTCGGGCCCACGACATTCTCCCATTTTCAATGTTTGTTTGGGGATACTTGTAGTTGTAATCTTAAAAAACATATAAAACATAAGAACAATGCTTGCTGGAACAAAAGATGCCAGCTGGGCGGCGGCGGGGGCTGGCGGTGGGGGCGGCGGGGCTGGCGAAGAATAGTTCTCTATAACGCACCAAAAGGAACGCCGGGCGAGTAGCTGGGGCCGGGTGCAGGGTGGAGCTGGGGTGGTTTGGACGTGACATTGGGAAGATCCCTATGCTTTAAACAGGGATCTGATGATTGTTGCTCAGGTATTTGGCCAAATTTTCCTCTTCAGCATGATCGGGAGCAAAATTGAGACTTGCCTGCACTGGCACAACGAGACACACGCGGGATGTTGCTTGCGACAGAAGCATGGGGCGCTCTTGTTTGGGAGGAGACATAGATGAACGCCCGCTGGTTGAAGGTTCCATGATACGACATTACATAAAAATATCCGGAACCCATTTCCTCCTTTTGGCCCCTTCGTCTTTGGATTCACATCAAGTTTCTGTCTTGCGTCAAGTTACAGCCCCGCCACAAATATCGAGACTCGGCGGAGCACGTTTAGTTTGTCTCCAAACCCACCCAAAATGGGTGCCAACATCGGTACCCTCGGAGCCTGTTGCAACCGACATGAAGCGCATTGCTTGCTCTCCGGATTGACCGACTAGTCTCGAGCTTTATTGCTGAAACAAAGGTCTTTCTCCACAAGCGAAGCGCGGCGTCGACCACTTTTGCACATAGATGGCGTTCCACTGATTCTCGCTGAAACATCGTTGCTTCAGCCGGGGGTCAGGACGCCTCGGTCTTGCGGAACACGCTGCGCGTGGCGCCGGTTCTGCTCTTCGGCCTGTGCTGCCGCTTCCTCGGAGTGGTTCTGGCCGTGCACCTCGCGCACACGCGGCCTGGGCTTGGATCGGGTTGAAAGTCGGTTGGGGCTTGGGTGAGCGACAGTGTTGAACACAGGCGTGAGACAGTGTGGAGCAAGGACAGAGCGGGATTGCTGAAGTGTTTTGGGCTGGATTCATAGTTCACAACCATTCTTTGGTGGTGGTGGTGGTGGTGCTGCTGCTGGCTGCTGTGGCTCGAAGTGGCGTTGCAAGTGTGCGAAGAGAAGCGAGGAGGCCGGTCGCTTTTGATATGCACGCGCGGCCAACATTTTGCACCCAGGCGCAAGGACGACTCTGGGGATTTGCAGCTTGGCTGTCTGTTCATCAGGAAACTTTTGCTTCACGGATCAAGCCCCAGGCAGCGCAAAGACGTCCGGAAAGAAATTCTCTTTGTGCTGCGAGCTTACGTTTGACGGCAGCCTGCGTTCCGCTGTGAGCCACGGGCATCTTGCAAACTTTTGTGACAAGAGAGAGATATCCCGACCCCAGAAAGGTTTGGACAACGAAAGCGGTGACCCAGGTTTCTGAGTTCCTTGCCTCGGGCCTCCCTGCAGGCAGGGTGCTCGACGCAACTTGCTTGGTTGCCTCCAATAGCGACGGTTTGTTTTTCATTTCCTGGCGCTTTGGTTTCCTGTTGGTTTACCTCAAACTATCCAAAACGAGGTGCAAGTGAGGATAATGTGAACCGAGGAAAGGAGAAAACTGAATGGAGGGGTATTGATTTTAGGATGTTTTTTCCCTCAGCTTTTGGCTTTTCCTTTTTGTTGGTTTATGCGGATTTTGGTGGCTTTTTGGCTTTGGCTTTTCGCATCCTCTGCGTTCCCAGTTCCTCTTCGGCAGGTGTTCATTGGTTTTTGGATTTGGCTTCCCGCATCATCAGCATCACCAGTTCCGCCCTATTTGAATCATCACTTCTTCGAACATCATGGGGGGGAAGCCCCCCCCAACCCACCCGCTACTGTTTAGATTGTTTGCAGAGAAATTCACCCCTATTTTAATCATCACTTTTTCGAACGTCCAATTTCGCAAGAAAATGCTGCAAAATACGATATTTTAGGTAATCTGTGTAATCCATGTATGTCTGTATGTATGCACTTCTTCGAACATCATAGGGGAAGCCACCCCCGCCAACCCTCCCGCCTTCTAAATTCTATCGCACGCTTTCTTGAATCATTGCACCCCTAGTTGAATCATCACTTCTTCCGACATCATGGGGGGGGCTGCCCCCCTGTGTTTGGTTCTCAGACCAATTGATCTCCCGCAACATTTGGCTCAAGGCCCCGTTTGTATATCATTGCATCATTCATGATCGCGTGAAGCAAAAGAACCTTAGCAGGCCGCTTCCAGGATTATCCACAAGACAATCCACCAGGGACAATCCATCCTCCAGTGGCATATTGGATTCTCTCCGGAATAGATCCAGGGACCAAAGCAACGACCTCTACTACCACAGGGTACCAGTTCTTTTCGGGGATAGGCACCTGGGGCAGTGGGCCTCAATCGGGTTTTCCGCAGAGATCCAAGATGTCATCCGATGGAGAAGGCTTCATGGAAGCCTATTCAAGTATGGCCAAAAATCCAGGCTATACGGAGGAAACACTAAATTTATCGATGACCGCCAAGCAGCCGCCATTGTACGACGGAAAAGTCAGCTGGTTCAGGTATGAAGAACTCGTGGACGACTGGGTGACCATCACAACGGTGGAAGCATCCAAGAGAGGACCTCTGGATTGACCGGTGATGCATATATGTACAAGGCGGTCCTCCAAAACGACCTTTTGCAAGATCCTGATGAAGGAGTCAACTATTTCCAGAACACGCTGAAGAAGTACTTTTTGAAAGGTGCGACCAACGTGTATCTGTACAGGCTCCTCAGTTTCTTCAACCATAGAAGGCAGAACCAAGAGTTCCTCATTTTTACATCAAAATTCGATATCCTTCTTATGAGATTGAAGGCAGCATGGATGGACTTGATGCCCGTTTTCACGGCACAGTCCCCATCATTTCGACAGTCCGTGCAGGACGCAAATGCAAGAACAATTGCTCGACATCAGCAAGCAGCCGGTGTTTGAGCACCGCCTCCAGCCCTGCTCAATGAGGACGACCCGACAGTCCTCAGACAGTATATCCAAGGAATGCAGGACAGACAGCGGGACGCATTTCCCTTCGGGGATAATCTCATTGCACAGTTTTTCATTATTCAAAGTGAGCTGTCAGATCAGCAAAGAGAGACTGACAAGTGCAATGTCACTGAGAAACATCTCACTAGACAACTACTTCTATGAGATGCTGAAGACGCACTACCATGAACTCTTCATCACGACGAGGACATCGATCCAAGATCCATCCATCCGACCTCAAGGAGGCAACCGAAGCAACACCTTCTTCATCATCGAACAAGGTGAATACGAAGGAGAAGAAGGCTTCTGGGTTGAGGATGAAGAAGGACTTGAAGGATTCATGTCGAACAACGATGAAGAGACGTTCTGGGTCCTCGAGGAGAACGATGCGTTCATAGCAAGAAAAGTGTCGGGGCGGAACTTCAGGTTCAAGAAGAGAAAAGGAAAAGGAAAATCAGGAAACAGAAAGGGCAGTCACCAACGAGGTGGCTTTAAACCCTTCAGAAAAAGCGGTTCTGGCGGAAAGGCCAATATGGCCAACGAAAACTATGGTCCCTACGACCAGGCATATTGGGGAAAAGGCAAGGGAAAGAAGGGAAAGAAAGGAAAATCAAAATTCCAATATCCTTATGATGGAAACAAAGGTTATCCATCCTATGAGAGTGGCAAAAGAAAGAGCGGACAGGAGAAAGGAAAATCCAAGACGTTTGCAGCCACCGCAGAGAACGGAGGAGCAGCCCGCCACCCAGCAGACTGCACCATCCATGGAGCCTACCTATGCCGGTTGGACAGACCAAGATTGGGATCAATCATGGACATGGAACGAACATGGCTGGTACTCATCCCATGAGATCGTTAATGGCATTCCATGATGCGTATGAGCATCCTGGGAAAAAGGCCATCCACGAGAAGCTGATCCAACCAGATACAGTTTCAGAACACAATCTGTCCGTCACAACAAATCACAGCCCTCTGGCAACAAAGCTGATGGCGCCTGTCATCAACCCTCAGCACAACCCGACCTATGCGATTCTGGACAATGGATGTACCAGATCTATGGGCAGCTGGCATGCAATCCGCCATCGAACCAATGAAGGACATCATCTCCTATGAGTACATTCCGGCCGAGACCAAGTTCACTTTTGCAAGCGGAGAGACCGCCAGGGTAAATTGGACCCTGCATCTTCGATATCACACAACTCCTCCATGCAGTACCAACATCGACGTCCTTGAACAAGGAACTGTACCAATCCTTCTCAGCATCAGCCAGATGCGGAACCTCTACATGACCACCGAGCACGATGCAAAGCCTTTGGCGTGAACCGTCAAGCAGTTCCGGTATCCGGTACAGGACATGCACTCGTCGATCTCGCTGGAGTTGCAAGAGTGAAGGCGCATGGAGAAATTGCCACAAGGGCCTCATCGACTATGTCTATGACGATGATAACAGCATCAAGTTTCCCTCCGGGGATCTCACCAAGAGCGAAACTGTTTGTGCAGCAAAATCATCCGAGACAAAGGAGGACCTAGCAACTCCTAAGATCATTGGGTCTCAAAAGCAGGACCATTGGATCCTTGACAAGAAGAACAAGCAGCTCATCCGTGTGCGCATCACGCCCCGAAAGGCGCTGTTCACACCAAATGGAGCCAAGGAATGTCCAATCAATCCTGATCACATTAGCCGAGAACGTACTACGGAAACCTTTGATGCATCCGCAGGTGGAGATCCAGACATTTTAGAAGACAATTGGAGACTTACATCCCAGGCAAATAAACCGATGATCAACCTGTGGACAGGTAAGACCATTTTCACCTTCGCGGACAATTCGCTTAAGGGCGAAGAAGCAGGTTCAGGTTCGGCAGCAGACAGGATCATCGACAAGAGGGGCCGGTCGACTATTGAGCCAGATCCTTTCGCACCATCCTCAGAAGAACCAACATCGCTTCCGCTTGCCCTAGGCAGAACACACAAGCGATTGTTAACTCCTGAAGAGTTGAAGAAACTCCACCTGCAGCATCATCACATGACAACAGATCAGTTTTGATTTAGAACCCGAGCGCTTCATTTGCCGAAATCAACATTCGATCTATTTGACAAGATCCGAAGTGCGTGTGAAGTTTGCCAAGCGGCAAAGCATGCACCACCACGAAGCAAAACAAGTGGACTTCGAGCGGACACCTTTGGTGACATTGATCACTGTCAAGTTCCTCTTGGAACAGGAGAACACATCATTGTTTTTGTCATCCTGGATGGAGCAACAACATTGCTCACTGCAGAGGCAGTGACAACTGCGCAAGAAGCCGAGAACATCACTGTCCTCAGGTACCACTTGCAGCCCAAATCAGTTGTCGCAGATCAAGCCATCATGACAGATACATGGGAACATTTCTATCAGTCCCTTGACATCACACCGATATCCTTGGGACCGAATACACCATGGCCAAATCGAGCTGAAGCAGCAGCTCGGCTCCTGAAGGCGCAACTCAAGATCATGCTAAGTTCCATCAAAGCAGGCGCTGCACCTGCAACACTGAAGAAAGTGACCTATAGGCAACTGGTGAAGGCCGCTGCAACTTCAGACCGTCACCTACGGGGGTGTAACACCATTGGAGCTCGCGTTCGGAAGACGACCAGCAGATCTCATCCAACTCGATGTCGCAACACCAACTCAGTTGACTATTGACAGGAATGAAGAAGAGCTGACAGCCATCCAGATCAAGCAGCTGTCAAAGCTAGCTTTCCAAGAAGCACGTCAATCCGAAGACATCCGACGAGACCTTGCTCAAAATCTCCGAATGAGTTCAAAGCCTCTTCAGGTGAAGGACAAGGTATTCTACTGGCAGGAAGACAAATCCAAGGTTCGTTCCGATGGAAGCAAGGGAGGAATATGGCTAAAAGGATCATTTCCATTGAAGGAGCGATGGTAGGACTTGATCTTGGGACTCGACTCATCAAGGTTAACATGACGAAGCTCAGGAAGGATGAGACCATCCCTCCGGGGAAACCCGGAATTGATCTTCTGTTACCAGAAGAGCGAGAATCCTTGCAGAAGGAGCAACCAGGCTCCTCTGCAGATACCAAGAAAAGGGAATCTTCCGCACCAGCTCCTAAGCCAAGATCCTCAGTGCCATTACGTATCGCGGGAAAAACAACTCCAAAACCTGCAGTACCTCATCCAGCAGAGAACATGTTCGTCGAGGACCTCACATCCATTCCTGAACAAGCACATTGGAATTGTACGTAAGGGAAAGATCCACGTTCTCGAGATCTTTGCAGGAAGTGCCAGATTCAGTCAATGCTGTGCGCTATCAGGTCTTAAGGTTGGGACTCCCGTAGACATCCGTGCAGGATTCGATGCAATGACATCCAAGGGACAACACATGGTCATGGAGATCATCAGAGAACAAGCGCCTGATGTCATCCTTATGGCACC